CAACTGGTATGAGGATATATATGTGGTATCCCATGTGTTAAATAAGGAGGGAAGTGTGTATAGGATTGTTCCTGAGGAAGATGGGGCCTCAAAGGTAATACACCGCATGCATTTGCGGGCAGCCCCAAGAGTAGCTGATGGCTCAGATGTGACAGATAGCTATGATGATGATGATGAGGACGATGCGGGTTGCCTGGTGGGGGACCCACATCCTGACAGTGGTGAAAACTCTAGGCACGAGGTAAACACACAAAGTTCTAATGAGGACCTGGACCCCGTCGCAGATAGTATTAGCAGCAGTAGTGAGGAAGAGTCTCGGAGTGGACTTGCAGTCCGTAGAAGTAAGAGAGCAACGGCGGGAAAACACTCATATATGTTTAGGTTACCTCAATCGACTATCCAAAGTATTTTGGTGCTATAGATTTAAATTTCACATTGTTAGTCCCTATATGGCAATACAATTAGTAAAGTTCCTCCTACCAGCTGCTCAATGCCGCAGAATGTTAGGTCATTTATTTTTTTATATACTGTACCTAGTATCATGGGGACCATGATAGGTGTAAGTGGGGGCAGATGTGGCATGAGGATCTCCAGAGACAACTATTTTGTGATTTAGAATATTTTTTATATAGATATGTATTTTTGTAAGCCCCGAGGAGGAAAACATAAATATATTTTGTGGATTCGAAATGGAATTTGCGCTAGAGCGAATGCATACCAGCTTGGGGTGGAGAGACGCCACAGCGCTGTTTACATTACGAAGACGCATCGGGTGGGCCCAGTAACAGGTGTGTCCCACATATTTCTAGCTCTGTTAGGGTGTGTTTGATAGATTGAGCATAATAAGTGTTATATGAAGAATGTGATAAACTGTGGAGGTAGTTTGTAAGCCAGAATACCGGTAAGGCTAATACTAACTTTGCTCTACAGACATTCACCCTGGAGTGAGCCGACTCCAATAGCCACCTCCCTGTGTTATGCTGGTGGGTTGGGTTTATTATGTACTGTTTAGTTCCTAGTACTGTGTGGTACCAATATGTAAATATGACAACAGTTGAAGCTTGTTTTGTAAGTACAGTAGAAGTCCAAAAATCCGGACTGCTTGGGGATTGGATCGGTCCGGATTTTCCAGATTCTCAGGCAGTATTGTTAAAATTCAAATTTAAGGAGGAATAAAGAAGAGATGAACAGGTATATTTTGAAAGTTTATTCATTAGCAAATATAGCAGGCTTCATTTATCAAAACAAGCAGTTTTAAAGAAAAAGCTGTGAATTTTATTCTTTGCCTTTTTTATATCATAAATTGTAGACTTTCCAATGTCGTATGTTTCCATTAGAACAGTATTGCTCACACCACGTTCTAGTTTCTTAATTATTTCAAGTTTGTTACTCAATTTCAACCTGTTCTTTCTCTTCACACAACGAAGTTTATCTACTTTAGGAGCTATTATTATGGGCCTGTACAGTACTCTGTAAATAGAAAGAGTATGACTCAAAATTACATACGTTGTCACAGTTTGATTGCTCGTTTTAAAGTGGCAACCGTGTGGTCGCTTGTTGTAGCTGTGGCGCTCACGCATGCGCACATACACACAAAAGCCAGCTAAATTAAAAAAAAAATAGTGAGTTTTTGAAAAGTCCGGATTCTCGGGTGGTCCGGATTTCTGGCATCCGGATTTTTGGACTTTTTCTGTACAATGCATAATAACTAGTTATGTCTGATCTAGGTCCCAGCCTTTCCTTCCTCGGGTGATTTCTAGAGTAAATAAAAGAGAGAAAGCTACAAGTGTGTGTGTCATATCCCTGCTATGGGAGTACCCTGCTTTCTGCTTTGCTACATGAGCATCTCAGGGGGCACTACTCAGTCGAGTGTCCTTACTTGGAGCAGGCGGACGCTCGCCCCACAAGGGGTCACAGCTCAAAATTGAAGAAGCCGCAATTCCAGAAAACTGTGAGGGCAAACTTTCTCGGAGTGAGGGTTGTGAACTCTTGGAACAATCTACCAGAAAGTGTTGTGACGGCACCGAGTGTGAGCTCTTTCAAGACAAGACTTGACCAACACTGGAGCAGGTTCAGGTACATTCAGGAGCCGGTGCATGCCCAGTACTTACCAACAGTGCGTAACAGAGACGTGACTGATCGCCCAAGCGGCTAACGAGTTGATCATTTTGGTGAAGAGGATAAAAGAAAAGGAAAAGTAACAGAGACGTGTCTGATCGCCCCAGCGGCTAGCAAGCCGATCAGTGGTGAAGAGGATAAAAGTAAAAGAACACAACTCATTTAAAAATTTCGGTATAAATCTTGGCATATGGTAGTGATTTTATGGTTGTATCCCCCACGGCCTATTGCTCCCCTTGAGTAGGTATGATATTTCAATATACAATCACGAATAACATTAAAAATCCCACACTGATTTACACATTCACATCATTAGATGATTTTGATGCTCTTATGCATTCACTATCCAATTGCTGCCACTCAACAATGAAGGCCCAAGTGCCAACACGCTTTGTTACAGAGACCTAACATGATGCAACCCACATGACCCATCCATTGTGAGTGTTTGAGAATAATTAAATAAGTAAGCACACAGGTTTAAAAAAAAGCTGCATTATTTTAGCATATTTTCATTATTACTGTCAGGGTTGGCTGGTTTAAACCAATAGTTTAAGCCAAACATTTTTTTTTTAATATACCTGGTATGCCCTTTTTCTTGGTTTCATTAATATTGTTTTGTTTTTTATTACTTACAGATGGTTTTAATGATTTATAGTAGATTTGGAAAATTATTTATAGTACAGTAGATTTGGAAAAGGTGTATGATAGGGAAAACAGAAAAGCATTGTGGGAGACAAGTGTATGGGGTGGAAGGAAGGCTATTAAATCCAGTAAAAGCATTCTCTGAGAACAGCAGGGCAACAGTAAGAGTAAATGGGAAAGAAAGTGAAGTATTTGAAATAAATGTGGGTGTTAGATAGGAATGCATTAATTGCGTTATGTCCCCATGGTTGTTTAATGCAGACATGGAAGCGAACTATTATACTCTGGTGAAAGTGGTGATAATAAGCTTTCTTACAAGGCTGCACACATATCAAATCCTACTTATAAGGGTACAAAGTTTCCACATTTCAGTATAACTTGTGACTGCTTCTGTTTATGGTTGGGCTCTGAGCCTCTAATTCTAATGTGTTCAGATCATGGGAGCCAAGTTACCACTGCCCATGTCTCTCTCTATCTCTCTCCCCAACTGTACTTGACTGAATTCTTTAAAACTTTCAACTGTAAAAGTAGAATAGCTTTTCCATGTATTATTATGAACCTAAAATTAGTTGTTACCTTTAAGCATGTAGGATGATCTAGATAACTGATCAAAGCTTGTGTTTTTCAAATTTGAACTTTATTGATTTTTTTTTGAGATGGGAAAGAGAATAAATGATTGCTAGATCATCCTGAGTGTAATGTTTATAATTAAGCACATAAAAAAGTTATACAAAGGGCTACAAATACTTTAAATTTATTAAAACCAACATAATTTTTGTAAACAATGGTTTTTGTTAGAAAATAATGTTTTTTTACCAACCCTGATTACTATACACCAAGTGCAGCCACCCGGCTCACTGAATCATTATCAAAAGTGTTTATACATACCAATATTGGTCAAATACATTCTGAACACTGCAAATGTAATATGGAAACACTATTTTTTACCAAACTGAAAGAAATTAATATCTGAAAAATTCATATGAATAAATATAAATTTTTTTAAAGATTTTAGTTTTCTTTTACATTAAAAATATTCATTAAAATAAAAGATAATACGCAAAGATGCAGGCTACATCAACAAATGAACATGCTTTTTGATTAACTGAAAAGAGTGTGCAACTGCCAGAAGCATGGAGCAGAAACAAACCTACTCTGATTGGTCCAGGTCTAACTTATATGTTCCCTGCCCTTATGTGTAAGATCTCAAGTAAAAAAAAAAAAAAATGGGGGTAAATATACTGTTCATATAGTGCACACACTTCCATATGAACACTAGTCTGTGGGACAACCACCAAATCAAATAAAACAAGACTGTAACCTTGGTTTGACTGAGTGAGAAAGTTTGGTTTGAAGCAAAAATGTCATTCAACATTGTTAGCATTATGGATGTCACAGGTCATTCAATGATATATTTTTTTTTTTTTTACGGGATTAGCCCACCCGGGCACAGGTCAGTGACCCACATCAGGGCCCGGGAGGATATATAATTATATTATTATTATAATAATAATGATAATAATAATAATGATAATAATAATAATAATAATAATAATAATAATAATAATAATAATAATAATAATAAAAATAATAATAATAGACCCCTAAAAAAAAATGACCAATAGTGAGAAACAATATATACTGTACAGTATGTATGTTGTGTTGTCAAAGTAAGAGAAACAATTGAGACCTGCAATTGTGTGTAAATGAGGCAGTGTCAAATTAGCAACCTGGGATTTGGTCACAATTTTCATGATGCCATTTGGCAGCAGGCTCCACCATTAGACAATACATTATGCTTCCAATATCTTCCCAGGCGGTAGTACCTCCCTGTTTGATAGCTGCCTACAGTGAGTTCTGCTATAACGCGTGCTTTGATAACGCGAATTTGCTCTAACGCGATTTATGAATTAGGAACGATATTTGTATAACGCGAACGCTTGTTTGCTATAACGCGATTTTTGCTTACTATTTCTCCAATTTTGTGGTACAGTATTAACTGTGAATATAGTAAAGAAGAATATCAACAAGAAGCGTTCTGGTGATAGAATTCCCGGTGATGATCGTAAAAGAAAGGATATAACACTTGAAGAGAAGCTCGATTTTATCAACCACAAAATCACCCTTCTCCCCCATCAAGTAAAGTGTTACATTTACTGTATGATTTCATTATTAGATATGAATGTAACATTTATTTAGACTGTGCTATCGTGTTAGGCTAACTACTAAATTTTTTCGATTTCGAGTAATCTGCACCTAACCCTATTTTCTCCATAAGCCCTGTTATTTCTATTACGCGATTTTCTATAACACGATATTTTACAAGAACACAATTATCACGTTATAGCAGAACTACCTGTACTACCTACTGATGACCAACATGTCATAAAATACAGCAAATGAATAAACAGCATCAACTGCAAAGGGACAAAATATTGTACTTATACTATTCGGATATAAATTATATGGAAAGTAATAATAAAGTCCCAAATGTGTGCTTGGGAATTTATCACATGCTTGCTGAAAAGTTTCTTACATTATTCTATAATATAATTTGTGCATTTATTATGTTCTTATACATAAATACTAAAACTCTCCTACAAATACTGTATTACATTAATAAAAATAAGCTTGTTTAACTTTGTTGAGAGTATAATACTGTTTACCATTAATTAATGACACTAAAAATCCGAAATTTCTCAATTAAAATTAATTTAATTTCTCTAGTGCCTTATGTTATGTAATGATAAAAAATATAAAAATGTCATGTATCACACAAAAGCACAAAAATGCTACTCATATAGACATTATTTTTAGTTGGCGTTCCAAAAATTTGTATAGTTGGAGCACATAAATAACATATAAAGTCTGTCTCTAATAATTTCTTCACCAAAAGCAACAGAACAAACAACTATATAAAACTTAATTAATAGTTATTGCAAATTTCTTCTCTGCAAAGGCATTTCATAGCATCTGTGTGTATAGTTGAGCATTATGTGTTACATAGCTGCAGAGGTTGAAGTGCACGAAGCACTATTCCTCCACCTTGCGATGATTATCATCACTTGCAAGAGATTCGTGAGAACTTCTCTGGTTATTCTTCTTCTCTGTTCTGACGCTGCATGTTAAATAAAGTTCTTATTAGTTACTTATACACTGTACGATATAATACCTGAAAATATATAATGGATGAGTATTACCCTATTTACTAACCTTAAAGAAAGAGAAATAGTACCTGATATAAACCAGTAGCCAGTCACTTTGCCATAAGAAATATCAAACTCAGACCTAGAACACACAAATATTATATAAATACCAAAACATCTATTTACCTGTGCTTAGCAAGATACATAATTTTCAAAGAAATAAGTTCTGGGCTAATATTTTTCTAAGTAGGAATTGTGACAAAAAATCTTTATGTTCATGTATATTTTTCTTGATTTACATTCAGATTCAGATTTGCCCCCCAGGCAGTGCAGGGGTTAGTTTATTGGGTACCCCCCTTACAACCCATGCAAGGCAAAGAACAGACACATTACAGCTCCCAACAGGGAAGTATGCAGAGTTCATGCTTGGCTTCTTGGGCTTAGATGATGGGTGATTAAGAATGGCTGAGGAGCTACTGATTTTGTTGACAAGTTACATGTAGTGAACAAAGAAAAAGTATCCCTCGCTTTATGAATGGGTTGGGATTTTTAGGGGAATTTTCGTTCATCTAATATCATAACATATGGGAAAATCGGGTCAAGTTCCCCAATGAAAAGAACACTCAATTAACATACCTAAATAAAATTAAATAGGTTCACAAACAATAAACAAAATCTCTTACCTAACTGGTGTAAATTAGTACAGGTTGTACCTCTCTAGTCCGGCATTCTGTGGTCCGGAAACTCCCGTGGTCCGGAACGATTTTAGTTTGTCCAATAGGTAGATAGGCAGCTTTTTTTTTTTTTTACTTATCTGAATTATTATTATTATTACAGGAGTATTAAATTTTTGCCACTCAGCCCCAATGTGGGTCAGTGACCTAAGTGACCTATGCTCGGGTGGGCTAATCCCTGTTAAAAAAAAAAAACAAAGCCGGAGGAAATTAAGGTTTGTTTACATCCGGCAGTTCGGCTGCTCTCCCTCTCTCTGCTTGTCTATACAGAGTACAACATTTAACCCTTCAATATATTTGAGCATTAAATAAGTGATGCTTTCATATTCTTATGTAGAGTAATGATGATATGTTTTCACATGTGCGCACTTACATACGCGATCTCTCTTTTTTTCTTTACCATTATCGTTAGCTACTTCTATTTTTCATTAACATTACTCGTACTTCAAGCAACCATATTCATTTTTTTCCTTAGTTTTATTACAGCTAAACTCAGGGTCTTATTTTCTTCAGTTTGATATGTAGAACCAATCAGTCACTGGTTTCGTAAGCTTTAACATAAACAATGCCAGCAGCCGTCTCGTCTCCTCTAATATTCCACGTATTATTAATAAATTGTATTGTTAATTTTGCACACACGTACATTAATTCAATAAAAACAAATTCAGAAACATTAATTAAAATATATATGAACAGTAAATAAGTGCTTTCATATTCTTATGTAAAGTAATGACGATATATTTTCACGTGTGCGCATGCGCACTTACATATGCGATCTCTCTTTTTCTTCCGTATAGTTAGCCCACTTCTATTGTTCCATTAATAACATTAAATAACATTAGCAAAATAACCATATTAATTTTACTACAGCTACAACCAAGGTCTTGGCCCTGTGATTTTATATGGGAACCAGTCAGTCGCTGGTTTTTGTAATCACTTGAATACAATGCTGTATGTTTTCATAAATGTGTTTAATATTCTCGTATTATTATTAGATTGTATTGCTCATTTGCATGCATAAACATTAATTCAATAAAAGAACATTCAGTAATAAACAATAATGAATCTTTTTGAACATAAGAGAAATGACGCTGTTTACACGATTATGCCCGTCGTCTGCACGTTGGCGGGCCGTTCAAACCCATCAAAATTCAAGTTTCCGCCGTCAAAATTTTTACTTATTTTTTTGTGTTCCAATAAAATACGTTAAGAATTAAAAACTCACGAAATTTGTGAAGCTACTATACGACATTTAACCCTTCAATATGTCTTCAAAGAGACCATGATGCAGAGAAAGTGGTGCTAGTGCTTCCAGGCATAAGCACAAGTCACTGTCTATCCAGGAAAAGGGTGAATTTCCATGGTCTGGCAATTTCCATGGTCCGGCACCGGTCAGGTCCCGAGGTTGCCGGACTAGAGAGAGACAACCTGTATTTAGAAATATGGTATCGTAGTTTTCTTTTGTTTCAAATTTAATTAACAAAGATTGATGTTTCAAATGTAATGAACAAAAATTTATGTACAGTATCTATAAATAAACTTTAAAAAATGAATACTTTATGTTTTACATCGTCCTGTGCATAACATACCATGCATTTGGCTACTTTGGGCTTGCTATGATGACGCAAGAGATCTGCCCTAGCAACTGTACCGACACTCACAGCTGGTGGTGTGTTGGTGTGTCATTTCCATTGTTTACTGGTAGTTACTGGTAAATATTTTTCAACCTAACGAAACTATTACCCGTATAGAGGTCGACCCCCAACTTTTTGCCAAAAAATTTGGTCTTAAGAACTTGAACTTGAACACACAGGTATATACGGTAAATAAGGACATGGGGACCAGGTTTTAGGGCAGCACATATACGCGGATTTTAACATCCATGGGTATCTCTGTTACGAACCCGCATGTTAAGGGCCGACTGTATACTTCATTTTTAGTCCATATAACACGACTTTGAACATATAATCAACGACATTACCAGCAGAATCAACCCTCGACCTACTGGGTGGGACTAAACGCCACGGCTAGGCCACAAGGACACTATAAGCCAACCTCATTGGGAAACTGCCCGTGCTCTTATGTGGTGTCAGTAGCATTTTACAATCCAACTGGTATAAACGCCGAGGTACATATATATACTTCATTTTTAGTCCATAATAACGCGGACTTTGAACATATAATCAAGCGTTCCCTAGTCCCACCCAGTAGGTCGAGGGTTCGATTCCATGCTGGTGAGGTCGTTGATTATATGTTCAAAGTCCATACATATATATATATATATATATATATATATATATATATATATATATATATATATATATATATATATATATATATATATATATATATATATATATATATATATATATATATATATATATATATATATATATATATATATATATATATATATATATATATATATATATATATATATATATATATATATATATATATATACATAGTTAGAATCAATTAACCTGGTCAATTGAACCCAGAGGGTCCCGTGTTAAGTGAACTGCTATGAACAACAGAACATATGGGATTAATTGATTAATTCAATAGAAACCAGCCGACCCCAAACTCCACTTTGGCATAACTATGTTGTGGCCGCATCTTAACTTTATGATGGTATGAAAAAACAAGTAATATAGAAGGACAGGTTGCAGGAAAGATAAAAAAAGTTTAACATAAGGAAAAACCAAAGTCAGGTTAAAAACTTCAAAATTTTGTGTACTTCTGATGAAGTAGAAATGGAGTCCTTATCACGAGGGATAGGCTGGTTCGAGGCAGAGGGCAGATTACTGGCCTCAGGTGAATCACCATTGCTAAGGGTGGTCTGTGCTGTCACCCCAGTTGTCAGGCTTTCCTGATAAATCCCTCAAAAAGTCAACTTCACTTTCACTATCACTGGCTTGGGCTGGCTGTGGTGGGTTCGCAGGCGAAACTCGGTTATGCTTTGCTGAGGTTTAAGCGTTGATGTTGTCATGATACACGCGGTGGCGCATCCATAGCCTGCACCAGCGGTATCAGAAGACTTCATAGCGGTCATTGTCGCTGGGAAAGGGCGGACTTAATTTTCTCTGCAACTCTATAGCATGTATCACTATGACTTAAACTAGGTTCTTCGGAGAATAGCGCACCTTCTTCCTCCTCTTCACTGGCGTGTTCTTCTTCCAACATCTCAGTGGCGTCCTTCAGGATCTCAATTACTCCAGGATGTCTTCGTTGGTGGTCTCGGGCCTTCAGCCTGTAATAATGGCGCGCTTCTCTGGCAAGGTCCACTGCTACTGCAGCAGTCTGAGCCTGACCAGTCACAGGTTCACTCCTCCTCTCTCACCTGGTATGCCATGCAACACATGTCTCCATGCGTGGCAGATAAATAACCAATAGTCAGCGGTCCCCATGCCTCCACCAAAAGTCTACGAAAAGCTTGTTTAGCAGTCGCTTTCTTTAAAGGTATTTGTGAGAAGTTCTTGGTCCACACGCCTCTTCATTCCTTGTCCTCGTCGCTTTTGCTCTACGCTGTCGGTGTCACCCAGCAAAGCAGCTCATCCTTGGTGTTGGTAGAGTCGTTCAACAGCTTAGACTTCTTTGCAGAGTCCATAGCTTTAACATTGCAGATCAACTCCTGGTCCATGGGCTGGATTAATAGCGTAGTGTTGGGAAGAAGACCACTTTTTACGTTGGGGTGACGATCCATAAGTAGGGGCGAGTGTCCGGGTGGTTTAAGCCGAGGCAACAAAATATTGAATGAAACTTTTCATTCTGTTGCTGCCGAATTTCTTCCTGTCGGGGAACAAAACAGTTGTCAAACCAGAAGAGGGACAGAAGAGGACATCCGCCCTTGATAAGTTGTAGTGGAACGTAAAGCATTTCATGTCCATATTCTTGTAAGCGTCAAACCGGGCTGTGAATCACGATAGCTTTTTGGTTTACGAGTGCGGAGGCGTGGTGGTAAACAGGGCCGGTGATCGTTCCTTCTGCAACTTCCGACCCCTTACTTTACTGGCAGACTGGATAGCGAAGGGTCTTGGAAAGTGCTTTTCCGAAAACCAGATTCGTCCATATTAAACACCACAGTGGAACCGATTGTACTATCGCTTCATATCTCCATAATCTCCACGTAAACGGAGGAAAATCTCTAGCATACGTTCAGCGCTGCTTCTCCACCACCAATGTTGATGTTGGTGATCTTGTTCCTCTTCTTAAACCTATGCAGCCAACCAGAGAGG